ACCAGAAATAGGCAAGGAAAAGGTTCTTGAATAAAGAAAAAGGGAGAAGATATTCAGGTGAGGAGGAAATTGCATTGAATGGCCTCTATTTACCTATATTTGGTACAGTCAAAGCTTTCCTACTCCCTCCATGTATTTTTCATGTTGTACTTTATAATTCTTTTTAAAGAACGCTCAAAATTGGCATGCCATGAGAAGGGGCTCCTGCATGGATTCATTCCTAATTATGGAGCCACTTTTTTGTAATCACCTAGGAATCTGTTCCTCAGCCCAGCTCTTTTTCGAGGTAGCCATTTCAGATTGAAAATTTGCTCTGTGAATAATGCTCCTGTACGTTAATAGTATAATGAAATAAGCATCACTTCAAGGTTGATTATCAAGTATTCCCATAGAATTACACCGTTTCCCCATAGCAGAGAGAGAAATGCTGTCTGAGCCTGCTCTTGGGACACCGGAACCATCCACTTCTGTATCTTTTTCTTTTCTCTTTCTATTAAATATTTAGCATGTGAGAATTCACAGTCTTTAGCTATGTCTGTTTTTGCCCGGATCCAAACACAATTTCCTCATTGTACCTTTGACATCCATCGTAGCAATGTTGCAGGGAGGGATGGAACTGCCTATGTTAGGGCCTTGGACAGTAGCAAATTGAGATGGTTTGGCATATGTGGATGGCAAAATGAGAAAAACATACGGGACATCTTGTCCTTTATTACAAGAGTGTGGAAGGCCACCAGACAGGAATTCAAATCCTGTTCTCCATCACTTGCTGAGCCACCTTGGGCAAGTGACCCTGTCACTCTGAGCCTTGTTTTCCTTCTCTCTGAAGTGGGGATGTGTAACTTACAGGTCTGTGAAAAAGGGCTTATAAATAAAATACTTTGTGTCTTTTACATGGTGGATGCTTAATAAATGGTAGCTATTGTTATCATCTCTAAGGCCCTGTTCCTACTTCCTGGATGGAATTTTTGCCTGAAAGAGGAAAAGGAAATGAGAAATGTGGTTAGTGGCTTTAACACCTCCACCCTTGCAGTTTTTGCATCTATGCCTTCCTATTCCGTCTCACCTCAGACCTCAGGAGTCACTTGAGCAACTAAATATATTCACGTTTACAGAGTTTACCTGCAGTAATTATCGAATATGACTGCAGTGTTTTATGAAGTCCCAGAGACTACCAGTAACAGCCTATAAATATTCCTGTTTACATTGGTTTTACTAGAACCTCCTGGAGGGAGGGGTTACTCGGGTGCAGACCTGTTACTATGATGTTTAAGCCCTTGGGCCTTGAAGAATCTATACCCTCACACCTGGGATCTCTTTCAAATAGCATAAGACTTGTAAAGGGACAAAATACACACGTGACAATGCATCTGACAAGTTTAATGTGTACTTAAATTTTATGTCAGTTTAAGGGATTGCATGCTTTTTTTTTTTTTTTTCCATAGAACTGTCATTTCTGGCTGAAATTCAGTCCCTATCCATATTTAGAAACAGGACAACTAATAATATTTAGTAAGAAAAGAAAGGAGTTCGAAACTTTGATTAAGAAAAATAAGGCACTTTACGTGAACAAATTTTAGATGGATCCATTTAAAATTAAGTGGCACTTAACTGATTTGCAAATTGGGACCTATTTATCTCAGTAAAATGATTAAAGCCTTGATTTATCCCTAAAATTGGCTTTATTACATTAAATTATACTGGAAGATTGTTAAAGACTTGTAGGTTCCCTCTATCCCTTTAAATCGTACTTTATACTGACAATAATTGAATATTGGATAGAATAACTTGATTTTGCAAAGAAATATGTTTCTAATATTTTCCTCTTTTTATTGCAGAAATTGAAACAAGTTGAAGAAACAAGAGAAGATCCTGAGAATAGATTACGTAAAATTTCCCTGGAGTCATTCAATAAATACAATGGCAATACTGTGATCTTATTAGAAAAAGAGACGAACTCTCTGAACAAGGTTGAAGGACAAAAGGAAGAAAAAGAAAAAAATGAAGAGGCCTCTTTGAGTAACTCTGATAGGCCTGGGGTAGACAATTTGGAATCTTTGAGTGATTCTTTATATGATAGCTTCTCTTCCTGTGCAAGTCAGGGTTCAAATGATGTGTAAAGGACTTTTTTTCCCCTTAGTGAGCTGGAAATGGAGCACTTAAGAAACAGGCCTGGGAAGCGGGGCAGGTAGAGATGGCAACGAATAAACTATTGCAGTACCAGGGCCGACACTGTCAGATTCACAGCCAGCAGCCCACTGGAGCTTACTTCCCTGACAAGGCAATAAAGATAGACTCTACTTGCTGTGTTCCATGAGGATTAAAAGTAAACACACCCAGGATACAGAAGTCTTAATTTTGCACTTTTCTTTTGAAAAAGAAGTTGTACAGAAGTTGTAAATTTTTTTTTGGAAAAGAAATTATATTTGTAGCAAAAAAAACCTTAAAAAGACAGCAATAAATTGAATCAGTGCCATGCTCTTGAAATGATGCCCTAAGTCTTAGAAGTTGATAATATATTTTTGAAAAATTCCAACTCCAGTTTTTGTTCAGTCACTGTCCTAGCCCTCAAATTGTTTGATGGTATACTCTGTAAACAGAAAACAGGGCCTGCTGAAAAACCAGAGGGCTGTCTCTCATCTCCATCTCATAATCTCAATTCGATAGAAACTTTAATCCCAGTGCAACTTCCAAATTGTTGCCAGAGAGATTCAGGTTCTAGTAATAAGTATAATTCTGCTTCTACTGAAAACTGTAGAGGAAGGTACTTAAGTGTGACACTGATCAGAAGCTATTTGTATCAGAGACGATGTAATTCTACTTTCCCTCCAATCATTTCCTTACATCCTCTTCTACTTAGTGGTTCTCTGCAATTCTCAACATTATCTGTTGATTTTTATCTTCTGGCTCTTTTGATTAAAACCTGGTCAATCTATAAATCAAAGTAAATTCCTGTTTGCAGTGTTCACTTTGTAAAAAATAAAATGGTTGGTGCTATGAAAAATTCTTACTTTTTAATATCCTTTTTTCCTACAAAGTCTGTTTATATGTAAGGATAAATTCTATTTTAAAGGTTACCGTGTATTTTTTCTAGATGCGAACTATTTATAATTGCTTTTGTACAGGAGCTTGTAAACTAGGCATAACAGATATTTTTAGGATCTGTATGGATACTTTAGTACACACTTGTTTCTTTAAAGAGTATTGTATGGTCAGTGTTATTTGGTTAATTTGTGCAATTTGTTATATTTGAATTTTGTTGTCTTAAACGAAAATTTTGTCATTGTCTTTCAGACTTTTTAAGATTCTTTTGTTTCATTTCTGAATAAACGTCATATCACAATCGCACCCTCTGAAAGCTTAGAAGAGCTTCTTCAAGGACCCTTCGGCGCAATTAGTTATTTGAATCTCATACGCGCTCCAACGACGCATTCCCCCGAAGGAATAAACAGACTAATAAGGAAACTGGCCCTATTCCTCCAGAAACAGTAATTCAGCCAATTGTAAGATTCGAGTCTGCAGACTAGCGAGTAATGGTCAAAGCATTTTCGTCTCCCTGAGGGGTTAACCAACTAGAACTGAGAGGAAGAGGGGTGCAAAGGGAGAGAAGGAGCCGGAGGCAGATAGGAAACGATCTCTGCAGAGGAATGACAAGAAAGTCATTGAAGCCCCTTTCCGGACCCGCTCTGCTGGCAGGATAGGGAAATAAATGATCAGCGTCCCGGCCTAAGAGAGCTTCCTTCTCCTAAGACAGGAGGCCCGAGTAGAAGGAGGTGAAGAGGGGCGAAGCTTACGAAGCCCTTTCCACCGAAATGGATGCTGCCTAGGGATCTGGGGGACAGGCGTGGGAACGTGCGGGACTGGGGGCGGAGGCTCCCAGGCGTTCCGGGCGGGCTAGCGGGCTCCCGTACCACCTGCGGCAGGGCTCGGCGGCCAGGAAGGCAAACGTAGCAAGCTGGCGTTCCGGGAGTACTCCAGGTGGGTCGCTTGTACAAGAGAGGGGGGATGGGGGGGGGGGAGGTGGCGAGGGGTGTGCCAGTGCCCGAGTCCTGGGCTCGGAAGGCGCGGTATACGAGAGGAAGCCGTGAATAGAGCCAGAGGAAGCTGCCCGGCCTTTTGGACGAAGGGGATGGAGGAGAGCAACTCACGTCTTCACCCCAATTTGCTTTCTAGTGGGAGCTCATTCACGGTTGTCCCCGGAGCGGCCCTCTCCTAGACTAGGCTACCGCACCCTCCAGCGGTGCGCGCGGTAGACGAACGCGAGGCCCGAGCGCGCAGAGCTGGGCAGGGTCCCCGCCTACCCCGCCCACCCCGCGCACTGCGCCGCAGCTGAAGCCGAGCCCGGTAACTACCCAGGGGCTTCTCCGAGGAAGAGAAGGCGCAGCTGCACCGGATACTCTAGGGAGCCTGCGAGTGTGCAACTTTGCCAGACGCACGGGAGCGCGTCCCCGCACTCCCTGCCGGGTGGACCGGACCCTGCCGCGGGCAACCCACCAGCCCCCGGGGGGCGCAGAGGAGGGGGGCAAGCGCCCCTGCAAGTAGAGGCAAGCAGTCTTCCCACCCCACCTCCTACGTCCTGCTGACGGCGCCCGGCCGACCGCCGTGGCACCTGCTGCGCCCTCCTCCCTCTTTCCCCAGTCTCCAGCCTCCCAGCCTCCGAAAACTACACTCTCCCACTCCCCCTCGAGGCGTCCCAGGGGACGTGCGGAGGCGGGAGAGGAGGGCTATCGGAAGGGGGTGGACACGTGAAAAGACTGTCCCAGCCTTCCCCGCTCGCCACCTCCACCCCAACTCGGCAGCCGTCACGTGGTGCCTGGAGTGGGAGGTGGGGAGAAGAGGCGAGACTTTTTTGGGTGCTCCGGATCGCCAGCAGTTCCTTCAGCCTCCGTCGCCAACTCCGGAGACGCCAGGCACTCACTGCCCGGGAGCGCGAGACAGAGAAGCGGCGACCCGCAGCCGGGGGCCCCGGCGCGGGCGATGCGGGCGCCGCCGGCGGCACCTGCGGCTCGTCTTGGCGGCGGCGGGCACTTCGGCGGCGGCAGCGCGGGCCCCAGCAGTCTCGGCAGCCACAGCCGCTGCGGCCCGGACAGCCTCCGCCGCGGTCGCCGCTTCTGATGCGCCTGCCCGCTCCCGGCCCCGCGGCTCCGGGAGGATGTGGGTCCTCGGCATCGCGGCAACTTTTTGCGGACTGTTCTTGCTTCAAGGTAAGAAGACGAAGCGGCCAGCCGTCCGGCCGGGATCGCACACCCCGTGTACCCGCCCGCCGTTCTGCCTCCGCTTGGGCGCTCACCTCCGCGCCCGTGCTGTGCAGGGGTCGCCCGGCGGGAGTTCGGCGGCGGCGAGTGGTGCCCAGGGGCGCTAGATGGGAAAGTGCCCAAATCCTGCGCTGCTGGAGGAGCGGCGGCAGCGGCGGATTGGTTGGACTCGGGCTGCAGATGCCCGGGCTGCGCGGCGAAAGAAGAAGCTGGGCTGGGGAGGAGGGAAGGTCCGAGCCGTGCAGGGTCTCGGCGAGGGAGCGGGGGCGACAGCCCGCTAACCCGCCAAGTTGTCAGGCGTCGCTAGCAACCCGTGGTAGTGGCGCCGCCGACAGGTGAGCGGCATGCTGCTCAGCCTGTGGCCTGGGCTGGCCGGGGCTGAGTTGCTGCGCTCCGAGTGCGACCGCTGTGGGTCTGGGAGGGGAGGTGCGCCGGGTCCGGGGCTCATCTGCCCGGGAGCCGGGGGTAGTTATGTCTAGACGCGAGCTCGTAGATCCGAGCGGAGCAGTCGGGCTGGGGCGGGGAAAGGTACAGAAACGTCTGGCTCCTTCGCTCCAGTACAGGAGCGGCTCCCAGTCCAGCTCTGCAGAGCTGGGACCTGGACCGGGAGCCCTAGCCAAACGGAGCCCTGAAAGCCGGGAAGGAAGGACTGTGGTGTCGCGGCCGGGGATGCGCGCGCGCGCGCACACAGGCACGCGCGCCCCTTGCCACACGCCGCGGCCACCCCTGCTGCTTCGGGAACCGTCCCGAAGAAAGGCGGGGGACTCGGGGCGCAGCAGCATTGAGCGCCCGGCCCTTCGTCCGCCTGGGGGGCCTCGGAGCCACAGCACAGGGATGCCGGCTTCGACTATCAAAGAAAACTGAAAAGGCGTCTGCGAAGGCAATCGCGAACGGTGCCGACCTAGTAATTAACTCATTTGTAACCAATTAACAATTAGGCAAAGCCTTCGGCGTAGGCCGGAGCCGACGCACGTCAGGTCCTCGGCTCTCGGGCGGAATAGCCCTCCTTTCAACTTCCGTGGGGGAAGAGCCGGGTGTGGTGTTGGATGGGCTCTTTGTTTCTGGAGAGTGGGTCCAGGGCTCGCGGGCCAAATCCCACTTTATATCCTGCGGGACCTTCGGTGGCCGCGCCGCCCTCTACCGGCTTCAACCGCGGCCGCCTTCCGGGGAGACCCAGGAGGGAGGGCGCCGCAGCTGGCTGGAGCGAGGGGCAGGATGCTGGCTTCTGGGGTAGTCTCGGGGCGGCCCGGTCTGAATCCGACTGCGTCTGTCCCGCAGGCTTTGCGTTGCAAATCCAGTGCTACCAGTGTGAAGAATTCCAACTGAATAACGACTGCTCCTCCCCCGAGTTCATCGTGAATTGCACGGTGAACGTTCAAGACATGTGTCAGAAAGAAGTGATGGAGCAAAGCGCAGGTAAGAGCCCGGCAGGCCCCCCTTTTCCTCCCCTCTCCAGTCTGGGCTGAGGTGGGAGTGAGGGGGCCATTGCATTACAGGAAAAGGGATTGACTTTGATATAATGCACCCACTGGTTATCCCAGATTTACTTTTCCAGAGCTGGGAAAATGAAAAGTTCCAAGTTACTTTAATCTCATTAGAGTTAATTACCAGGGCTTCTCCCCGAGAAGAAGCTCATATGGCTGGGGGTGGGGGGGAGTGCATTTCCATGAGTGGCTCTCCTCTTTTTATGGACTGCCCTCACCTCCCTCTGCTAAAAGCTGATCGGGAGACTGGAAAATGTATGGATAACCGGCTCTGCTTGGGCAACTAGACAGTAGCCTGTGAGCAGTGTCAGCCTGACATATGAAGCTAGTTGAAGTTCCCAGAGGTCAGCACTTGAAAAATGTGTTTTGTCGAAGAGCCACGCCATATTTCCTTGAAGAACACTACAGCATCTTTATTTAATTTTAGAACTAATGCATCAAATTCCAGGCAAAAATTGCCAAAGATCTTTCAAGGGAATGTAGTTCCCCGCCCCCCAAGCTTAGCTGCTTGGTGGGCTGACAGAGGGCCTGGGCATGAGGCGAAAAAAGAAAGGGGTCTTGTGAGAGATAAACCTCACTCATTTCCTGCAGTCTTCTCGTGGAGCTGGGTGGGGCTCCCCAGCCCCGCCCAGTAGTCTCATCAGAAATCAAAGCCCCCCAAAAAGTGAAACTGGAACTTTGGGGAAACGGGTGAACTGGAGTTTCAATGCCAAGGTCAGGTCCCTGAACATAGACTTTGCCATTGTAAGGATGTTGAAAAGATGGGTGAATGATATTCAGTGCCCCCAAGCGCTGCTTCTCTTGAGTTTGCTGAACTGCCCTGCCCTGCCCACGGAGCCTGGTGAAGGGTCCAGCTTGTTAAGTGACTTCCCTTAGCCCGCTGGTAGATTCATGCAAGGGCTCTAGTTTTAAAGTGAGCACCTTCGGAAAGAGAAGGGCCTGGAAGTGCCTTGTGGCTTACCACATAGTAACCTGGGGAGCAGATAGCTGGTCGCTGTGCTGTGACGTGGCGCGCGTGCAGGCAACTTTAAAGGCCCTTCTTTATAGGTCATTAGCAGTCTAGGTGTGGAGTCTTTCCAGCAGAATCACTCTTCTGGGAAGTCTGAAACGTAATCGCTCGCAAGAATAACGTCTCAAACAAAGCAGCATGCATTGTTTTGTCATATGGGATTCGGACTGTTAAAAAGGCAAAACAAAACGTAGTGGTGATTCTATAGCTGAGATTGACACGCGTGATTCTGACAGGTTGTTTCTTTTCTGCTTGTTTCATTCCTGAGAATTTTATGTGAGCAAAAATGGATGATGGCCCTTCTACCTGAGGAACTCCCATAATTTTCCTCAGAATCACTTGAACACTTTGCTGTGTCTCTCAAACATCTGTAGCTTTCTTCCAGGCAGTAGTTTAGAGCCAGACAAAAATGGGGATGTGAAACTTTCTCATCGTCCTCTATCTAGGCCACTGCTTACCTGGGTATCATATATCATAACCTGGGATATGGTTGCCACGAGAAGAGGACAAGCTGTGAACCAAATTTCTTGCTCTCTAAAAGTGTATCTGAGGTGAACATTACAAACTCCATTTTCAAAGTGTGGTTTTTCATCTAGCTTCCCCCTCTCCTCCACCACACACTGTAAAAAAAAAAAAAAAAAAGGCAGTGCTGGCCTGATAACGCCTAGCTTCTTCCCGCAAAGCTGTAGTGCAGAGAGTCCATCAGTGCCTGACCTGAAGTTGCTATTAGCTCAGTCAAGGCGGGCATTTTGTCGCCAAACCAGGTTTCTCCCACCACATGTCATAGGCTAGAGGATGACAGACACTGGAGATATAAGGCAAGCTCAATCGTGAAGCTTGAGAAGCAGAAACAGTTGATGGGCTCAAAGGGAAAGCCGGTTATTAGGGAAAGGATGCAAGCTCTGCACACGTGGAAACCAGGCATTCTTAGCCTGAATTCAATAGAAATCAGCCAAATGCACGTTTCTGTGCTTAAAGTGCGATGTTCGTGGAGGGATGGGGGCAGGAGGGGGAGTGGGCTGAAATTTCCAAGGCGCTTCCATTGTCATCATGTGATGGCTAGAGACCAATCAATTTAAGTGGCTATTAACCCTCCCCTTGTTGGCAGGGCTGGAGAGCCAAGCTAAAAACTCTGATTGTTAAGTGACCACAGCGTAGTATACTCATCACAGTAGCAACAGCTAACTCCTGTTGTGTGCCCTGTGTAGGAGGCTCTTTCCCTGTGCTTTACGTGGGGGAAATTACCTGAAATCTGAGCATCCTCTTTTGAGGCCCTTATTTCCCCAGGCCACGACCCACCGTGTTTAATTACGCTGCAGGGTCAACTTCTCCCCTCTGGAGCAAGGAAGTCCCACCTGTTCAATGATGCTATTAGGAATCGAAGTCAGAATCGTTTGTGCTTGATCAGTAACATATACTGTTCCAAGAATTTTAGTGCTTTGGAATCGGAAGGGCTTTTGTTGCTGTTGTTGTTGTTTTAATTTTTTAAAAAATCATATACACTTTTCTACAAGAAAAACTACGAAAGGGGGGTTAGCAATCTTCTTTCTACTCCATCTCGTATAACCACTTCCTGAATTTCTCCTTTAACAGAGAAAGTTCACCACCTTTTGCAGCTCATACACAAAAACTAACCTACCTTTGCATAAAGATTATAAGTAAATATAACAACAGAAGAATCATATTTACAGGGATAAACCATAGTGGGTAGTTGATTTATAGTCAAGGGTGCACACTGGAATCTGGGACTTTTGTTCAAGTCCACATGTCTGGGCCCCTCCTTGAAGAGGCCAGTTCTGGAAGTCTGTGGTGTAACGGGCCGTGGGTCAGCCCCCGCAGGTGACCATGGGGTGCCCTAAATTGAGAACTGCTGGTCTGGACCAACCTTTTTGTGTTATAGAGGAGGAAAACGAGGGCCAGAGAAATTAGATGTCTGGTCCACGTCTGTCAGCCAATGGTTACTGCGAGGCACCTGCTTCCTGGGCCAGCACCTTACACAGTAAAATATGCTGCTAGGGTTACCTGCAAAGATAATTCAGGTAAAGTGCTAAAGACTTAGACAATCCTCACACCCACCAGTCTCACCTAGTAGGCTTAGTGAACTGGGTTGAGCGCACGAGCCACAAAGTGGATTTTGTAAGAACAGGAGAACCAACTGGCAGGACCTTTACCTATTCCCCAGAGCGGCATTCCTATTAGATGCTGAGATGATTCTCTGCTCCTTTTCCTTTTGGTCATTTATGGGGAAATAAGGCATGGGTTGTGGGGAAGAGAAGGCATCTTTCATTGTCCTTACTAACTGATATTTAAATGTTTGCATAATGAATGACTTGTTCTCTCCAGCTCTGCACTTAATGAGTTAGTGTCTATGAACCAGCACCCTTGATAATGACATTTCTCTTGCTTTCGCCTATCACCGCCCTCCGCAAAATATTTCAAATATCGATTTTCACTTCGGAATGGAAGCCCCCCGCCCATGAATTTTAAAACCAGGGTATAAGGAAGGTGAATCTGCTTTTGTTTGACAGTGCAATCTTGTAATTAGAGTTTTTCCTCTTGACTAGATACAGTGAAAGGGGCGTAATTTAATTTTTATAGACTAGCCAATTTCTGCCCCTAGCAAAATATAGCTCTGCCACTGAGCAGAATGTTACAGGTTCTCCTAAACCTTATTTAAAAGTTAAATGCAGTATATTGCGAGAAAGTTCATGGTCTGAATCAGTAAGCTAATCGATCTCTTCACCCATCCTTTGCAACAGGCATTAATCTATTTGTCTGTTTTGCAGTACACGAGTTCACTGATTTATATGCCATGTTGCATCTACCTTATGGCTGTATAAGTAATGGCTACTTTCCTTTTGGGTTAGTTAGTTGCTCATTAAGTTGGGCAGGGATGGCTCGATGCCTTGGACAGGGTAATTTTATGCCTTATTTTCCCATGAGCTATCGAAAGGTAAGGGGATAGCAAGAGAGGACCTGGGGTCTCTAATCAGTTACCCACTCTTAGCAGAAAGCAGTGGAAAGCTAACCACGGCCTATGTTCCCTTAAGGCTGTGCTCTGCTTAGTTTCACCAAGATTTACAATAACAGGCTGTAGTTTGTCTTTGGGGTGGTCCTGGCAGGAAGAAGGGCCAATTTTGCTTATCAATATTATATCAGAGTCCCTTTATACCCGGATTCTTTAAAGCGCACACACATGGCATATATATGTATGAGCGTATATTTTTAAATTTTGCCTATATCAATTAACACACACAAACATAATTCTTGTGAGAAAAGAAGTGAAAATATCGCATCCTCCTTTTTTGTAGCTGTTCAGATCGTACAAAGACGTTTTCTAACTTCTTTTCCCCAGAACATCTTTGTTCAGAGTACCGGTGATGTTTGTTAATCTTCTAGTGCCCTTTATCTGCTCCATATCTTTTTCTCTTACCTCTTCTCTCCTGTCATCTCCCTTTTGAACATCCTACCTGTAGCCCTTACTTTCTCATTCTCAAATCCATTTTGCATCACTGAGATGGGCTATGGACTCCACTCGAAGAATAAAGTAAAGAGCAAAAATGAAAAAATAATCACCATAATTTAACTTTGCCAAGGAGACCGCAACAGATTAAAAAACTTTAAAATAAAAAAGGTTCAGGTGTCAAGAAAGATATTCTCATATATTAACACCGGCCCTGCTTAAAAAGGTTTCCATGCCAACCTCAATAACGTTATGAATTACACGGGGAAAGATTCTGTGCGATGAATGTCAATATCACTACCTCCTTTCCAGTGGGACCCTGAAAGAACACCTTTCTCTCCAGAGCAAGACATTTTGCCAATCCGATTGTTCACTTAGTTCTCAAGATGCGTCCATCTTTTTCATGTGGCAGGCATAGCCGACTTCTGAGCAGGTCTTCAGAGGGTGAATATCAAATGTC